GGGGTAGGAATGCACAAGCCCCGTCCCTGTGCCCACCATGATCTCCCAGCCCACAGTTCCTTTCAATGTGCATGAATTTGTGCACTGGGCCCCTAGTTAATATATAATGAGTGTCTATGCTTGTGTATTGTGTATGATTAGGATGTTTTTGGATGGATACAGAAGACACTTAAGGATGGTAAGGAAGGAAGGGTATAAGGAGGTTGGGTGACCTCTCTCCAGGTGAGAGAGCAATTTGCTTTTCAGTGTGTCCTACTTAACAAGTGATTTTTACTAAATGTATCTATATTGTTCTAATTTTTAAAATGCTTCCCAACAAATAAACCTAAATGATGTTCATTGGAAAATATTTACAATCCAGGTATTAGTTTTGCTCACTAAGGAAAACCTTTATCCTACTCCCTGTTTGGACACAGCCATTCCTCAAGGAGGAAGTCCTCAAGTCACATGATCTCTGTTGTCTGGAGGGTCAGTTCTCTCACAGTGGGGACTCCGATGTGATCATTCAATTCCAGTCATGAGTACATACCTTGGTTGCAGGCTCTGTCCCAGGCCCTGGTCAGGGCTCCTGAAGGAGACAACCAATGGATGTGTCCCTCACACATCGATGTTTATCTTTCTCTCTACCCCTCCCTTCTATTCTCTCTGAAAATCAATGGGAAAAAAGTTGCTGGATGCATAATTCAATGAGATGCCCAACTGGGATTGATGAGATCAGACAGACCTGGGTTAGAAATGCAGATCTGTTTCCAGCCTCTCAGGCAGATGATTTTGTCAGGAGCAATGGGCAGATAATATGAGAGTCTCTATCCCAACCAAACCATGGGTTTGCTATTACGCCCCTAGGGAAGCCTGGATGGCTGCTACCCCCAGGCTGCTTGGTAGAATATCAGAGCAGCACAATGAAGGTGTAACTGTCTGGCAGACCCTGTTCTTCCAGGGAGGCCTGGCCTGAAGAACCCAAGATGTTCTTAGCATGGAACCATGATAAGAAACCTGGGAATTCCACACTTTTTAATCCTTACCTGAGGGCATGCTTAGGGAGAGGGAGGGAGGAAGGGAGGGAGGGAGGGAGGGAGGGAGAGAGAGAGAGAGAGAGAGAGAGAGAGATGCCCTGACTAGGATGGAACCCACAACCTGGGTATATGCCTGACCAGGAATTGAACCCATAATTGGATGATGCTTCAAGCAATGGAGTTAGCTAGCAAGGGCAATACTTTTTCAGAACAGAACTTGTATATTAACTCAGTAATTTTGATGGCATTATCATCATAACCATCTCCCATTGAACCCTGAGCCCAATTACATTTTAAGTGGTAGATTCAAACCCAAAAGATCTGGTTGAAGAGGATTGGTCTTGCCCTGAGCAGTGTGGGTCAGTAGATTAGAGTAATCGTCCCATACACCCAAAGGTTCTTGATTTGATCCCATGTCAGGGTAAATGCCTGTATTTCCAATTAGATCCCAGTCATGGTGTGTATGGGAAGCAACCAATCAATGTTACTCTCACATCGATGTTTTTCTCTATCTAAAATCATACCAGAGTCCACCAGACACCTCATTTAATTATTCATCCGGCAGGCCTTGGATAAGCCTTTGCTAAATGTGAGGCCCTGTGTTAGAAGCCTCGATGAAAAGATCCCCCAGGAGTTCCCACCATCAGAGACTGACAGCCCAGACAACAGAGAGGGGTGATGTGGTTTGAGACTTCCTCCATATGGATGGCTGTCTATTCTGTGAATAGGATAGTGGGTGTCCTTTAACCAGCAACTCTATAACCTGGACACTAGCAATTTCCCAGTGAACGCCAAATAAACTTGTGTTTTTTTAAAGGCATGATATGCAATTTTTGTAAAAGCACAGATATTATACTAGAGTACACTGAAAAGCACATTGCTTTTTGCATCCAGACCTCCAGGCTTTCAGGCTACTATACTGCATTACCATTTTTCAGTTTCTTCTGTAATTTCCAGGAATATACTATTAATAAACATCCAAGCAAAAAAACCTTTTTTCTTGTTTTATTTTACATTATGTATGTGCTATGTCCCTTGCAGTCTTACATTTTTTTGGTTTTTGCAACTTTACACTTTGTGTGTGTGTGAGCATGTGAGTGTGTGTGAAAGCGAGTTTACTTGTGAAGCAGTGAGATAGACAATGGGCTACTCATGTTATTGGAAAGGGTACCTGGCCCTGAACCAGTCTACATAGGACCAGCCAGGAGTGTGTGGGTTTTTGACTTCATACAGGAAAGAATTCACAACACGAGTCCAGGAGAATTTTGAAGACACTTATAAACAGGGAAGGGTTGGGGAAATGAGCCTAGGCTGGGCTGCTTTGGCTCACTAAGTCAGAGAAAAGCGGGCCTTGGGGACAGGCTCGAGGGGGGCGGGGGGCAGGGACGGGATGTACCTGACATGAAAGGGCACTGCCCACTGCTGCCCTGGTTGCAAGCCTCATGGGGTCCCTTAGAGTTTAGAAAATGCCTGATTGTGGGGGATGGGAGAGGGGGAAGGCTCAGGTGTGCTCCTGGGAAGGACAGATTTCTTTT